ACTGGCTGTCTTAAAGAGAAATAAATCTCATAGTCCTCTGGGTGATGCACTATACCACATGGAAATAGGTAACGTCTCTGTAAATAGGTAAAAATGTCTCTTACTCTCGTATGAGTGCAAATCTATTTGTATTTATTCCCTCACTTTAGCTGCATATGTTCGTCCACAAACTGCACCGCAGGTAGATTGCCTCATGAATTATTAAATAAACCAGATTGCCCTATCACAGGAGGAGAATGTGAGTGGCAGTGGTTTGCCGTAAAGAAATCGGAGCAGAGAGATTAGGAAAACTAAAACCATGTGATGGGGTGGCGATGTCTCGGGAAGACGAAGAGCAGATAACAGCCTCGCTCTTTTATTCATTTTGGGAGTGAAAGATAGATGAGCAACTGAATAATTTCTAATCTTCTTTGAGGCCATGCAGCAGAGGACAGGAGAAGGAAGGATGTTAATTTATGATCTTTACCATGCCGGCATGAGTGCAGGTTCAGTTGCAGCACAGAGGCATGGCCTGGATCACAGTCTAGAGGATGTTTGAGGAGAAGCGGAATCTGATTTTGGAGGGGCAGTTTTCTGTCAACGCGGCTGCAGCTGCGTCCACTCTGCATGAGTCCATTGTTAACCCGCAGAGGCCTTTATCAGGCTTTTGCTGACCCTCAGATGGCTACTACTCTTTTGTTGTGCCTTTACTTTTTTGATTTTTAACTGACCATTGACTTCTATTCTTGCCACTTTATCTCCATCTCCTTGAGTCTTTCCCTATAAAAAAAAAGTCGACTTCATATCTCACTTTTGGATATTTTAGGAATTAGTATCTCAAACGTAGTTTTCTCAGCTGCCATGTTCCCTCTTTCCTTTCCTCTGCTGATCCTATTCATACAAACTTTCAGAGTGGAGCAGAGAGACTATGGAGCAGAACCAAGGCTCCTTGATATGGCCCCTGTGGGGCTCCCTGCAGTGAAACTGGTGTTTAATCAAGCCCCTGGCTTCAGCTCCCAGCGGGCCGGCGCTCCCCTGACCCCTACCATCTGTGGGGGCAGTAGAAGTTCACAGAACCCCCACACTCTATTATAAGCTACCTGTCCTTGAGCTCCCTCCAGTTTTTACAACAGTGTGTGTTTTGCTGACATTGCTTATTCACAGAATACATACTTCATACACGCACACAGGCATGCTCACCACACACGCACAGCTGTGCTCTGAAATGGTCAAGGGGACTAAAAGTGCAAAAGAAAGAAAAGACCGCAGCAGCGATCAAGGGCAAGCATCCAATTTAGATCTTAGTCCTCAAACAAATCAAGAAAAATATCAAATGATGCCTCAAAAATGATTCATTTACCCAATTACGTGAAACTTGGTTCTCAAAGCAGCAAACACAAACCAAAACCGCAAGTATTTTTCTAATGGTCTCGTCTGTTACCACTGTTTTAACTTCCTGAGTGCTCCAGAGAGCCATCTAGCCAGCAGCAGCGGCTGTTACTCTGCTCCTCATCACAGGGTCTTGACCACAGAGAATGTCTTATCAGTGCTCTGTGTGCCACCGATCTTAAGCCTGCGCTGATGGATTTGGCTGAGCACTCGATGTCTGAGTTTTAAGCAGATTCATATCAGAGTGATTGAACGAGCTGGGGCTTTGGTTGGCTAGTGTTAGCTGTTATTGCTTACACCAGGGGAGACGATGACACTATAGCCGTGGTGATGGATAAAGAAGCAGAGATTTCCCCAAAGGAAGAGGGAGAGATGGAAAATAGAGAGAAGAGGGGAGGCAGGGGAGGAGAATGAGACAGAAAGCGCTGTATATGTGTAGATGAGTCGGTTACAGTGCATACTCTATGTGAAATGTATTGCATGTAAAATGGATTGCACTCATTATAGCCTTAAGTGAACACCGGAAGACTTACCATAATTATCTCTGAAGGGAAAACATAAGCATCATCTTGCGTAGCATTTGATAGTATACAGCACCATGAATGAGGGTTGGTGAATTTTTTTAGCCCAAATAATTCAATTTCAAATAAAAAGAAATGGCCCACATCAGACTACAAAAGCGTCAAATTGCATGCTGTATAATGAGAGAATGCTTTGACCTATTGAAACCTCAAGGGTAGCATTCAGAATGTATCACTACTGCAGCTAAACACAGAAAGGATTTTCATTCCCAAGAAAGTCCAGAACCCAGGAAATTGGGAAATTTCATATAAAATCATCCCTCACTTCATACGGAAAAAAATAAGTTTCTGTATTCCAGTACAGCACACAATGGATGAAAAATTATTAAATGAATAACATTTTGGGAAATTAGATGAGAAGATGCTCGCTCTCACATCTGTGCGCTAGCAGAGCTGGAGTCAGGAGACGATGCACGCATGAGGAAACAGATCTCTCCAAAGTTCTAAAATCTTACCACCAACACCTCTGATTTGAGCACTGACATAATCGCAAGAAAAAAAAGTTATTATGCAAGATTGCAGAGTTTACCTCATATCATGTGAGAATGCTCCTCTGTCACATATTTTTGGTAGTAGGTCAGTAAAATGTAATGAGTTGTATTATTAAATGACATCAAAACTGAGAAGGCAGCTATAATCAATATTTTGTACAAGAGAATTATCATCCAAATCTACAGCTGCCCTCATCTTTTAAATCACTGGAGATGGCTTTCCATCTGATAAATTCTTTGTGGGATCCAAACAAAGATGGAGCTAGAGAGAAATGCATAGTAGCATTTTACTGAGTGTTTGCTTCCAGCGTGTGTGGCTTCTGTGCTGGAAGCGTATTTCATTATCCAGTCTATCAGCATGGCAAATAAGAGCAGTGACCCCTCCTGACCTGGCCCCTGACTCAGATAAGCACTGCAAACAGTGTGAAGTGGCTCAGCCATTTGTGGTCACACATCGCGGAGCAAACTAAGCCCGCCATCCTGCAACACCGGCTGACTCTTGAAATGGTCTGAGTGTTTCTGTGGGTGAGGGAACAAGAAAGTAAATGTATGTCTTTGAGAGTTGAGGCATGTTTCTAAGTGTCTGCATGAGTTAGTGTTTATGTGTGCTCACGCTCCTCTGCACACGTGCGTGTCACTTCCTATTTGTTGTTGTGATGTGTTTTCCCTCACCTCTATCTCCCGCGCTCCCCCAACATACCATCACTGCATTGACAGATACATCACTCTCTGTACTTTATAGCCACTGAGGAAACGAGGTAAACAAAGCCTGCAAAAAGAAGAAGCCATGTTTTTCTTTTATGGTCTACAATTTTTCACAGGCTTTAGGAAAAGCAACACCTGAATTATTGGAGAGGCCTGTCGCAATGGCTGGCAAGGCAGGAATTTTATCCGTAACATTTTTAAAACAAACTTTTGCTATATATCTCCCAGTGTTCTCCACTCTGTGGATGGATTTTTCATGTGTCCCTTTCCCTCCGCACAGTTCTCAAGGCCTCTGTCTGGCATCACAGACAATCTGGCTGCTGTGTTTATTTTTCAGTCCTCCGCAGATAATGACCATGGCACCAAGGCTATAGAGAAACTATGGGAAGAGGAGCGTGGACACACAGAGAATAAAAAATCTCACTATCTAACAGAAAGAATCCAGGGCTTTCTCAGCAGCAGTAACCACAGCAGAGGGCAAACCTTTCAAACTGAAGCAGCATACATATACTGTAAAACTTTGATTAATAGCCCGGCTTTCATTTGCTAAAATCACTGAATTGACCCTGCCTATATTTGTAAAGGCCTTTAATTCCTTTTGCACAAAACTGAAATAGGCTACTATGAAACAGTTTATTTATTTCAAACTGTATGAATATTACTTGTATAAAAATCAAATACCAATCAAATAATATCAAATACACGTCATTTATTTGATCTTATTTTGAGGGTGCAGGATGAGAGAAGTTAGCAGACAGAGAGTGATGGACTTCACATGACAGGATTCACAACTTGGATTCATTTTTATGAAAAGCTGTTTTGATTCATCGGTGGACCCTTACAGACTAAAGGAATATAAATAATCAAGGAACAAACACATAAGGACTTAACGAGCACTTCAAAGGCTAGGGAGTCGGCACTTTTTTTTCATCTCTTGTACCATGCCGGTTACACTGGTAAATTTATAAGAATTAGGCTTGATGTTTCCATTAAATGAACTGAGCTGTGGAGAATCTAACCGACGTGTGTAACATGTCCAAAGCCTCAGCTGTACTTTGTGTTTAGTGAGAATTGGCATCTATATATCAGATTAAAATGACAGATATACTGATATAATTGTCTCCTATATTTCAAATGTCACTAAAAGGCACTCCTTGTTTGTCTAACATTCAGTCTTTGAGGCCCAGACCTACAATGATTAGACATGTCTGGTGCTGAGCCTATTGGTCTGGATGTGTTCAGACAGTACTTCTGTGAACTCAGAAGCTTACAGCCTAATACACAATGAATGTAATAACCATACATGTGTCAATCAGCAGACAATATAAAGGACATGCTGACTTGCAGTTATGCACATAAAGAAAGAGCCATTACGTGGCAGGTGCCGGCAGCTACTGATTACAACTGACGCACATTTGTAAGATACGCAACTGAAAAATGCAGCTGGAACACATTACAGGACATGGCTACATTGTAAAGCTGCTGTGCTGTGGTTCCAAGTGTGACCTGGAGCTTTTCACAAGTACAACTTCTTCAAGCAGCCCGCCCCTAAGCAGCCAGACTTTGTGGTATTTTCTTTTCTTTTGTGAGGCCTTCAAACATGTCTGTTACTAGATTGTGCTTTTGTCTTTGTCTCTCTCTCCCTCATCATCACATTCAAACATTTTACTCCTAATTAACAACCCATTGTAGATAAGTAATCAATGAGCTTGTCTTGCATGCAGGAAAAGATTTTTTTCCACTTTGAACACTTCAGCACACTTGCAGTGGACGTAAGGAACACAACTAACTGGGATACTTGGTAAACATTCCAGACATATTCAACAGGCTAAATGACTTGAATGTGGCTTTGTACCTTTTATGTACAAGTTGAGACACAAGTTTGTAGCCAGGGATACCAGTAGTTTCCTGAGGGAGGGGGTCCTTGAGGAATGTCAGCTCATCACAAGGAGTCCAGGACACCACGCATTGAGGTTTACTACTAGTAAATTAAAGTAAAAATGTCCTCCATCATTCCTCATATTTGGTCACTTCACATCGTACAAAAGGGCATACAAAGTCTGCTTCAAAAGATCCCAGTGAATAGATGATCCAAATGACTACAGCCCTGCCTGCAGATCCTCTAATTTCTTGATGTTTTAAAAATAAAGAATACTGATCCTGATCAGTCCATTTACTTCCAGATTGTTGCCCGTCTGGTCCAGTGGTCTTCTGGTATTGTTTGGGTACAGAGGAATTGTGTACAGAGAAGGCACAGTGGAGTCAGGAAACTTGGATCTGTTTCTGCTGTGGCTGTGCTTGTGAAACAATACTCCCTCTTCTGGTTTAAAACAACAGAGGGTGAAAAGGATTAACTTGTCCGAAAGAGCTCATTGAAGTAGCAACATGTTTATACAGGACTTTTCTTCCTGGTCTCCAAGGCTTGCTCCAAGTAAGTAACTGAAATATTTGTATGAATAACTAATAACCTCAGTCTTAGTGCTACGTCCATGTTTAGAAAAGCTATTTCACAATATATTGTGTGGTTCTCAGAACAAAGGACAAAAGAAAACAAAATGAAATGCATTTTCTATATCATTCATTTATCATAAGGTGGTACATTGAACTAATCTGCTTTCAAGGTAAAAGGTACAATGTTGTTTATTAGTCATTCGTTATCAAACGAAATTTGGAGTTCCTTCAAGCTACACACGAAACATATAATTAAGTGCAGGCCTATATTAAAATATGGTAACATAGCCTATAAAATAAAATAAAACAATACAGTTATTTATATACATATATACATACAGTCTGGGTGAATGCAAGCAACAGCAGCAACAAGATGATAAAATGAAAGTTTCATCTTCACAATAAACAGTCTGACATTTGGGAAACAGAGTCCATCCTGACTGCGTTTGAGCTGTTTTATTTGCTTCAATCATTTCTTTTATTTCATTCTTCTATTTATTTTCGCTACTTTGAGTGCATGCATTGTTTCTTAACATTGCATGCATTGTCATTCATTATTGCTGTTGCTTTAATTAAGAAATATATCTACCATTTGTTCTGGGGGGATGTTTAATCATGTCCCATGTCCCCTGTGTAGGTTACCATGGCTTCTGTGCCATTTGTTGTTCCAGGGATGTTTAGTGCAATTTGCTGTTTGTTCAGTTGACCTCAATTTAAGTTAAAGATTCCAATGTTTTCAGAATAAATTCCCTATTTCGTGTATTTTTGCATTTTGAATCATTTACTAATTTTGCTAATTCAAATTCCGGTTGGAAATAAAAAGTCTCTGCTTTACAAACCTGTTAATGACTCTGCTGCTTGGCCCGACATATGTCAGCTGGTCATGTAAAGATGTATGCTTCTTAGATAAATTCTTATTTTATCATTCTTAATATGCTGTATGTTACCTGTGCACATGCAGAAATACCTAACACCACTGTTTTGCACAGATTCACTCATAGAAAGGCCACAGCCAGATAATCAACTACAGGGCACACCCAGGCTATAAAAAATCATAATTATGTTTGAAACTGCCTGCTGATTCTGCAAGAACCTATCCACCTGTTATAACATTAATATGTTCATTATTCAGATGTAATGTAGAGGCCCGGGAATTTATATTAATCTTAAGAGTTCAACTTAATTTGATTCAACGTTACATTGGTGTTGAAAGTGCTGTAGGTAGTAGAGGAGTTCCTAAAATTGTGGTGTCCTTTCCAGCAATTATGAACAAAAACTTATCATGCGAAATTGTGTTTCTGTATGTAAGAATAAACCATTCACAATTTAAAGTTGTCAACAATAGAATATGCTGTGTGTGCATTATGTCTTAAAGTTATGAATCTTAAAGATATGCACACACCAGAAATGATTCTTTGGTAATGCGTTTTATTTTAAGTATATAATAGACCAAGACGAATCTCATGCTGGCCCTGCGATGGACTGGCGACCTGCCCAGGGTGTACCCCGCCTTTCGCCCGATGTGCCCTGTACGCAGGATAAAAGGTTGACGATGGATGGATGGATGGAATCTCATGCTATTATCACATCTTACTATTGACAAATTTAGATTTAACTGTACTAGTCTGTGAAAGAATTGCCTGCAAATGAAGAAGCATTTATATTCCTCCTCTCTCGGAGGTTACTCACATATATTGTGATTTTATTTTCTTCTTCGAGTATTTGGTAATGAGCTGCACTTAAGCAATTACACAAACAAAACGCTGTGGAGTGGAGCATATGTGAAGGCTTTTAGCTGGGTCATATTTTCCAACAGATGCAGAGGGGAAAAAAAGGAAAGGCAAGCTGAGAGATGGAATTTCTTGTCATCCATCTCAGGGACTGCCATTTCAACTCTCTCTATTTCTCCCCTCTCTCTCTCTCTGTCACTTTTCAGCAGCTATTGTTCTCGGTGGGGTGATTTTTCTTTTTCCTCTTCAGACACGATAAAGGAGTGCACAGTCATATCCCCAGCACAGCTTCAGCAAAACAAAGAGGTGCAGTGAAAAATGAGAGGCAGTTTCCATCGCGAGACCCCCCCCCAACACACACACACACAGCCTTCACACCCCATTTGCTAATGTCAAGGTCAAACGGTTGATCGCTATACTGTTTGAATAAAGTTTGATGTTTATTTTCTGTTTTAATCTCGTCAAATTCCATAACTCTTGTGAGCTTTTCCTTCAAGCCCCACCCAACAATCTAAAGCACCTCAGATAATAATTTCTTCTTGACATCAGGCTTTGAAATCTGGACCACACCAGCGTTTATCCAAGAGAAAAGCTGCAAAATAAATCTCCCTATCTGTTATTTCAATAAAGTTCACATCTGTATACATGGCATGCACTGCATCCCTGTGTTTTTTCTGTAAATGCAACACCTCTGCTGACACACATTATGCCATGTGTTACACAATCAATCTTTGCACAATCAAGATAAAAAGGAACTATTTCCTTTTTCATCAAAGCAACAAAATAAGGTAATGAAGAGGCCATTCGAAGATTTGCCAGCAAATGACCAGAGACAGGCAATTCAGAAATTCCCTCCAGACAGTGATTGGACAGATATGACACATCTATTTATGAGATGTCTGTAATAATTTTGGGCTCCTTATTCTCTGTGGATCTTGGCAGCATTTGAAAATGGTATCCTGTCCCACGGTGGGCAGTGTAATGATGGCTAATGGAGGCAGCGGCCGAGCTTGTTTATCGCCTGACATTTCCTGCTACAGCTCTCTCGCTGACATGTTTTTTTTTTTATTATTTCATGTTCCAAAGATTACATGAGAGACAAAATGGCCCTGCATTTGTCCTCTCATCCCTGTCAGTCCCCAGCATCCCCACTCCCATTCTTCTACATCAATAGCAATGGTGATATCAAAAATGTGGCATGGTTGTATAGGTTCTTTTCTCACTCCCTCCTCCTTAATTATTCCCCTCACACACAAAGGCCTCTAGGAAACAGCATTAAAAAGCTGCCACTGGACCTCCACACAGAAATAGATCACTGGCATTTGGACCAAGCAAGAACATATTATGGATTCAAGCAGTGCTTGAAGTGGAAAAAAATAGGTGCCATTACTCTCCATTCACATGTTGCCGCTCCTTCCCCCAGTATAAATGAGTGTGTTAGTAAATAATATAACATTTAATAATGTATAACAAAGTATAATGTTAGTATGACAATATATTTATAGGTCACACAAGTATTTGTAACATTTAAACAATTTAACTGTTTCACAAATAAACAACCCTGTGGTTAAGGTTTGATTAGGGCTAATGTTGAAAAATAAATTGAATTAGTGTATTCAATTTAATTTCAGAAAATATTTTAGACTACTACATAGCTTATCACTAGGCTACAATATCAATTCCAGTTGGACAGAACAGCCATTTAATTGTGGTTGTACTAACTTATCATATTTTTAACCATTCATGTAGAACAATGAGTTCAACATTTCAAAGGTTTGCTGATTTCTGTCAACAAGAGCGTCACTTTGTGTTGAAAAGTGGTGGGGACATAAGGGCTCAGATTAGGGGCGTGACGATACACTTGGATCACTAGACCAAGACCAGATGATATTAAGTTATTTTGAAGAAATATTCAATGCTGAAATATATGTCTGGGGGTCCTCCACCAGACGATTTCGAACATTAAACTCTTAAATTACTGCATTCTGGAGAAATTTTCAGATGGCATCTCAAGGCACAGTTGTGCGTTGAGCTAAATGCTAATGTTAGCACACTAACATGCTCGCAATGATAATTTTAACAAACAGGTACTGTAGAATGCAAGAGGTTCACCATCTTAGATTAGTGTGTCAGCATGGGGGCATTTGCTACATAGCACTAAACACAAAATCCAGCTGAGGCTGGTGGGAATGTTATTAGTTTTTAATAAACCAAAGTTTAGGCGTATTTGTTTTTTTATTGGATCCCCATTAGCAATAGCAATTACTATTCTGGCTGAGGTAAAAATGTCCAAATAAAAGATGAATTCAATAAGGAAAGCAAGGGCCAATGAAAAAGCACAACTGTCATTATTATAACTGGAAATTCATCCTGAGGGGATGTGTGTACCTAATTTTTGCACCTCAATCTGTAAAGTGTAGATCATATTTGAGTGGATACATTTTACCTTTAGATTCATCCTCTGGTTGTTTTGAATTAGAGCGTTTCTTAGTGCGTTTCCCAAAACCATCGTTTATTAACTACGGTAGCGACTTACTTGGTTGTAACTATGCAGTTGCGATGCAGCTGTTTCCCAAAACCCTAGTTTGAACTATGGCGGTAACTAAGTAGGTAACTTACATGGTGTGAACCAACGTTAAGCGACGCAGGTGTTCCCCGAAACCATAGTTCTGATGAACATTTGTGACCACTGTCGTTAAGTTGCATAGTTTGAACTACAGCTCCTGACCTGTGGTTAGAAGCTTAGTTCACGGAGACTGTCATAGATAGCGCAAAATGCAGTCTTAGGAGGTGGATGTAATGTGTTTTAAGCAGGGAATGTTAGATAATCCTGCAGTACAAACAGAATGGTGAGGTTTTTTTAAATGTAGTTGTGAAAGTACTTTTAAAGCCCCCCCTCCAGCCAGTTTTATCTGCCATTTTGGTGAAGTTTTTCTCAAACAAAGAATGGGGATGTTACCATGACAATCAAAAACTGACCAGCTGGAGTGTTCGCTAACGACATGCTGTG